CATTGGCAGCACTTGGGAAACACTGGTTGTTGCCGTGGGAACTGTGTTCAACCAAATTGTTCTCTGGAAACCCACCGGATTAACGAACAAAAGTAATCGAATCGCTGTTGAGAAACGACTCTGCGGACACGAGGTACCGGTACTTAGTGTTTGTCAAATTTCATTTGTAGCAATCTTATTGAAATGACATGTTAAATCTTTCAGGTGTAGTAGATCATTGTGAAGCAAACACGAAATTATTTGTGAAAAAAAATTATGTACGAGTCAATGCATAACAATGTGTACATTTTATAGCAGGAAAGATATGAACAGAAATGATGTCATATAACCACTAAATGAACACAATATACCGGTAGTGTGTCAATTTCTATACCTGTATACATGTATGATTGCTCCTCAAAAAGTTATAGTTATAAAAAAAATGTTTTAGTAGTGTTACATTATACTATAAAGTAATATAATAGATTTTGTTCACAGTAGTCATGTAGTCATGTGACGGGGAAGTTTGTAGCAGTGAATATTTCACCAGGAGTTCTGTGATTGCCATCAAGTTGTCACAACAGAACAACCCCCTTGAAAGTTATTATTTTTTTCAGGGAGTGATATTCTCCATTAATTATAAACACTCTAAACTGTGCTCAGTGTCCGATGATAGGAGTATTCGTTTGTGGCAAATGGATGACTTGGTACACCTCAGTGAACTACCTTCCACCCCCATAATGGTGTTGTATGGTCACAGTGCTAGGGTCTGGGATGCTGTGATGATGGATGAATCCATTGTCAGTATAGGGGAGGTAGGTGTCTTTATACGACTGTCCATAATTAGATTTTTTTTATTTTTAGCAGATTTTGTTTCTGTTGCTGGTCAGTAATTTTTTAAATGTTTTTTTTTTTTTTAAATTCAAAACGCAGGATGCAACTTGCTGTGTTTGGGATTACCATGGAAGCATAATGAAAAAATTCAAAGGGCACAAGGTTGGTAAATTGAGATATTGCTACGGAGAGCATAATGGGAATAGATTAACAAGAATCCAATACCATATTTATTTACTTATTTATAAAAAGTATAAAATGACAGAATGTGCAAGGTTTTCACAGGGAATAAAACTCAAAGTATCAAATCACTACAGTCATCAAAGTTAGAATTTTATGTACACAAAAAAATGTATTTTACACGAGCTGTACACATCGCTATGGGAACCATATCAAAAACAACACAGCGTGACAACTGTAGCACTCTAAATGCCTTACCCAACTAAAATGTCTCAGATATGTTTAAGATAACATTACTCAAACCATATTGAAAACTGCATTTCAATTCTTAGATAAACAGTGTATGGTGTACTTATTGGTTGAAAAAGAAGGTTAAGGCAATGGCCTCATTATGGAATTGAAACTGGATGTGTCCTTGCTGACAAGTAATTTCTGCCCTCATTGTTGTTAGTCCCCATTCGGACGCAGTCCGAAAACGGGAACTTATGTTTTGACCTCGTGTTGTGTGTGTGCGTGCGTGCAGTGTGCGTGCGTCTGTGCGTGCGTCCGGACCTGTATCTTAGGAATGCCTGGACCAATCACAATCAAACTTCACACATACATCATACATGATAGCATACATATGCACGTCAATTTGTTTAATGATCTGATTCAAGATGGCCGAATGGAGGCCATTTTTGTGCTAAAAATCTTCAAAATCGAGCATTTCCCCGGCTGTTTACAGATGGATTTTGTTCAAACCTTGTATATACGTTGGACATTATAGGACCTTGATGCACATCATTTTGTTTTACGATCTGATTCAAGATGGCCGAATGGCGGCCATTTTTGTGCTAAAAAATCATAAAAATCAACCATTTCTCGGCTGTTTACAGATGGATTTTGCTCAAACTTGGTATATACATTAGACATTATGGGATCTTGTTGCAAATAATTTTGTTTTTCAGATAACATTCAAGGCGGCCATTTTGTATTAATCAATGTGGTTCTCGTGCCATATCTCCGACTTGTTTTGACTGATTATGTTCAAATTTTAAATATTCATTATACATCATGTCATAGATAGACAGATATATTGTTTTGACGATCCTATTCAAAATGGCCGAATGGTTGTCATTTTTGTACTGAAAAATCATCAAATATCAAGCATTTCTGGCATTTATGGATGGATTTCATTCAAACTTGTTCCTGACATGGTTATATTCCAGCTATATTACTATAAACATAACTATATATCTTAAATTTGATAACTAACGGGGAATGTGCCATGCATGGCTTGTTTATTATGTGTTCTTTTGTTTTTTGTTCTTAAGGGAAGCAGTATCTGGAGCCTGGCTACCAGTGAGAAGCACCAGTTAGTGGTGAGTAAAACTGGATTAAACCATCATTGTAAAAACCAGGCCTCTTTGTAGAAGCAGCTGTTTCATACCCTCCTAAAAATGTGGTGTACTTGTGTCTGTTTTAAATGTCATCCATTTTGAAAATAAAATTTTTGAAACATAAGCATTGCAAAATGATAGGTGTAATTGTGTCTGTTTTAAATGTCAGCCATGTTGAAAAAAAATGAAAAAATTGAAATTTGAAATCTCAGAATAATCATTTCTAATTTTTACTGTCCTTTGAATTCTTCAGTTTCACTTATTCTCCATGAGTCCACATTAATCATTGTCTGTATATGGCAGGGAATCGTAAATCAGTGCACCTGTAATTTATGCAGTTTTTGAAATAAAATCTTTTTGCATATAAGACTAATTAATTAATGTGTCGAGACACTATTCTTTCCAAAGGTCACTGGAGGTGGGGATTGCAGCATAAGGCAGTGGTCACTTTGCAAACAGCAAGGTGAGATCATATAACACAGATTGCAATGAAATCTAAATACTTTATATCTATAGATTTGTTCAACACTAATGCTTAATGTTGTCAACTGAGTATACAATCTTACATATCAACAATGTACTCACACTCTATAAGTTCCATTCATAACTGACAAGGATAAGTCAAATCTGGGAACCAATGTGTTTAACCATAGGTACATTACTTTGGGTTTGTTACTACGGTGACATGATACCAAGATCCCGTTTCAATCTCGCTTTCGCATAAGCGTTCCAACTCAGAAAAATGGGAATGCGCATACCCGTGGTAACTAGGATACTGGGATGTCCAGGTGGATATAGCTGCTCACGATATGACGGATTACGATAACTATATTTTCTGTACATTTTCGATGTAATATTTTTTCACTATGAATGTGGTAATACATGTTTTATTGTTTTATTACAAACCGCCTATGTCATGGCAGAAGGTCGTAGCATCAGTCTCGCTCTAGAGATGAGACTTGAATGGGATCTTGACAAGTAATGTACCTCTGGTTTAACCTATTCACCACCAGTTCCCTCTTTTCATCACAAATTCGCAAAATAGTCTCATTTATAGTCTGCACTTTCTTTCAGAAGATTGCGACAAAAATATCCATTTATTTTTAATAAAAACTGAAAATTGACTCAAATTGTGTCTGTTGTCTCCAAAATTAGGGTTAATTTGCAGAAATCTTGAAAAATAAAAAAAAAAAGTGCAGAAAATTTGTGGATGAGAAAGTCTGGTGGTGAAAAGGTTAAAACAGTTACTTGTGTTTTGGGTTCTTTGCATTTTTCAGAAAGAAACGAGGCTAAATAATCATCATTATGTTTTTTTTTTCGTTGTCCAGTTCCTCAGTGTCTTCTCACCTGTCAAATCATCATCAACCAAAGTCTAAGCACAGACTCCTCTAACTACTAACTTTCTGAACCTAATACCAATACAACAGCCAATCTTTCGACACTCAAACTTTTGATCGTACTACTCACATTTGGCAAGTAATCTTTGGTCGTACACCTTAGATTTACTCTGTCCTCCTGTCACAGTCTTCAAATCAATCACATAATTTCCTCTCATTTTATCAACAAATACAAGGACAAACTAAATTAAAAAGTTTACAAAGTCTTCCTGCCAAATACCACTTAGCTTTTGATTTATTTATTCACAACAATAAACACACTTAATTGGTTGAATCAATAAACTGTTAACTAAGGGGCCTTGTATTTCAACTCCATGCTATCAGATCATGCTATCACTTTTATCTGTGTCTTAAGTGTCCCAAATACATGTAGTCATCATTTAGCAAGTGTTACACAAGTTTGTTATAAGTCAAGGTTGTATAATTTCCGTGGTGCAATGTTTTATTTGCACATCATGTGATCCTTCAAAAAATATCTGGTCTGTGACTTGTTGTCAATAAAATTAAACTTACCCATGTTGGTGGTTTCAAGACACAATCAATATAAAACTCGTCACTTCACTGCTCACGTGGCAATTATTTCACTTGTGTTTTGTTTGTGCAAAGAAAAAACTGTCTAAAGCATTTCGTAACATATACTTCTTTATACTATGAAGTTATTACGAGGATACATGCTAGAGTATCGACTGACGCGTAGTGGAGGTGGATGTGACAGTGTACTGCCTTATTATTATACAACTTTTCCTCCCAAGGATACATCATGGGAATGCCGAAATCCAAAATGTTTAGAACAGAACAGTGAACTTCTTTGTGTGGAGTTCAGTCAAACCCTGATGGCAGCCATGTTTGTTTTTATTATTAGTGTACGCTTACGTGCGTAATCATTTCATTGTTGGAATTCGGATTTCCTAATATGGTAGTATGAAAATACCCTGAAAAATACAGCAAAATTACGACACGCTGTGACTCATGGCATTACGCTGACAGATGTATAATAATATATTATACTATCACCAACTAAATCATCTACGAAACACTGGACAGCAAAATACTAAATCATTATATTTTGATTGCTAATAACATCCAAAAAACAAGTTAAATAAAGCTTAATTCCGAGGAAACAGAATCAAACTTTTAATATTTATAGTATTTAAATATAATCAGAATAACGCAAACGACCCCACCTAATCTTTCATGTGTATAAAATTATGTAACATAGATGACACTCGATCATAATATCAGTAAATAGAGCCAGTTCCTGCTAGTAGAGGGCGCTTTTGAATATCATCAGGATAAAATTCATGGCCGGAGCAGAATCATGTTCGGTAAATAAATTAGATATATCTAATTACAAAAATCTATGTCATTATTTAGTGGAAATTAATAAACATTGAACAAGCAGCAGGGTCAAAGTCTTCTATTTTTATTGCAGCTGTAGAAACCAGTGTACTTGACCTTCCCATTAATGCGGACAACATGAACGCAAAGACAGACTACCCCAGACATGCTACAGTGTTGACATCAGGTCATGTACTCATACTTACAGATTGTGGGTAAGGTTATTTTTAATATTACTGAAAAGTCTGGATTTTGTACCACATACATCACCATCATTGGAGACTAATGGCTAATTGTAAATAAGTAATGAGAATCCCTCTGTATGAATCTTTCCCATACATACTTTTGTGTCCAGCATTCTATATTAATCTATCCATCACAAATCAAT